GTTGTAATGTGACAAAATATGGAAAAGTTCAAGGGGTATGAATACTTTTGCAAACCACTGTATAAAGATAGTCAAACGGCCAAAAACTCATAAAAGGAGATACAGCAGACAATTTGCAAAGTGGAAGTCTGACTGATAAAAACTTTGGAGCTTAAACGTTGGGTGACGAGTCTCAAGACTTTTTTTTCCGCATTGTAGACTCCAGCGGGAATAAACTCCATGCAGTGATGTATGCTGCAGCGGGAGGGGTTTCCCAGCAGCTCGGCGCGGGGTGTCTCAGGAACTATGAAAGGTGTGTGTGAAAACAAACGCCAAACAACCACGTGACAGTGTGCCGTCCAGTCGCCTGCAGAGCGACCATACTGCTGGCTTGATGCAGCAACACTTCAGACCTTTTGGTGTGAGATACGACTTTTCGAGCAAGCAAGGCCAAAGTGGAAGAGGGTTCACACAGGTGTCCAGTCTTAAAAAGATGGTGTGACGAAAACTGGACCAAAAAGAAACGGAAACAGAGTATACACTGTACATATGTGGTACCTGTCTTTGAGAGTCATTGAAGTACGCTGGTACAGTGATGACAGCATTCTTCACTTTGTTGCCCAGGTAGTTCTCTACAAAAAAAAAAACATTTCAAAGTCCACAAACATTGCTCCTGTAAAGAATACATAATACATAAAAATTTAGATGCAAATCTCATACCTCCAGTCTCCTTCATCTTCATAAGGACAAAGGCTCCAACTTGACTTGGGGAGTACATTTTCCCATGGGCCTCCACCCAGGCGTCCCCATTAGAGGCACGAACAATCTTGTATGGGACATGTTTCCTGTTAGAAATTCAACATGAAACATGTKTAACTGTGTGCACCATTTCAGCTCAAAGAAAAACCCAGGTTGTAAAAATAAAACCTCACATCTAACTAGGAGTAGGACGGTATAAGATCCTGATGGGATGAGTACTTTGAGCAAAAATACCACAATTTCAAAGTACAAAAATATAAAAAGGTATCAAATTTGCTTTTATATTGACAGTCACTGGTTTCAGTGTGTCAATTTTTTTTGGCCCTCAGAACAGATTTTAAACTAAAAGGTGATCAATTTTTTATTAATAACATTTACTTTAAGGACAACATTTAAGATTAGGGATAAAATATCTGTAACTCCCTCCAAGTTGAGTAACGGACACAAGGTGTTCTTCAGGTTTACTGGCATTTATTTGCATATACGCACAGGCAACCATGCCATGAGAACTGTATAAATAACATAAAATATTAATTTCCATACAGTAAGGCATTCTCAGAGAAATACAAATTTTAGAACACAGAGCTTTACAACTTAATTTCTTAAACACAAATGGCTGTTATCTTTAGACACACGCACATAGAAGAAAAACTCTCAGTAAAACAGCCATTAGGAACTTAATATCATAATGTCAAAGGAGGAGATTTTCAAACCTCACTGGTTTCATTTACTTTGAGGGGGTTAAGAAAAACATCTCTGGTTATGGAAATATTTATTTAACAAAGACAGAAATACGTGGTCCAAGAATGAAGGTACTTCGTAAATAAATATTTTTCATGACAGTACTCTTCACACCACCGCTCGGCTTCTCTCTTCATCTCTCTCTCGTTCTGACAAACCACGCTGCCCCCGACGAAGCAGTGTGTAACAATAAAACCGAACGGACTTAAACACAAAACTTTGGTTCCGCCCTGGGAATATTAAAAACACTCTTAAAAAAACCCAAGTTTTATTTTATTCACATGAATTATGTGTTGAACTTTAACAATGATGTTTTTCCTTTTTTTTTACTCAAAATATAGTTAAAGGGATCCACAATTAATTGTAACATTAAAATTTATTTGACAAATATTTATTTTAACTGTAAAATAAAGACTAAAAATACTGTAGGCTGTTTAGTTTTGTAAATTTTTTAAAATATATTTTAACACGGACGGAGCCATTTT